TGAAAGCTGACAAGAGTTTGAGGAAAATACAAGAGCATGGTATTGCAATAATGGAAAAACTGGGTTAGTACCTACCAGTTGCCCCAGCCTGGAACTTAGCCCTTTCTTTTCCTTGCCATCTGTACCAGCATGGCATAGTGATTGAGAACAGACTGCTGGGCTCAAAGCCCTATAGTATACATTTTTTTTTTAAAGATTTTATTTGTTTATTTGACACAGAGAGAGAGGGAGTGCACACAAGCAGGGGGAGTGGCAGAGGGAGAGGGAGAAGCAGGCTTCCCGTAGAGCAGGGAGCCCGATGTGGAGCTTGATCCCAGGACCCTGGGGTCATGACCTGAATGGAAGGCAGGCACTTAACTGACTGAGCCATCCTGGCATCCCTGTGGTATACATTTTAGTACCTGTGAGATCATGGGATTACATAACCTTTCCATGCCTCGGTTTTCTCATCTGTAAAGTGGCAGAAATAACAATAATGTACTTCATAAGAAGAATTTAGTGGTAGGATTAGAAAAGCCAATAATTCTAATGAAACATTAATAATTCTAATAAAGCACTTGGCATTGTCCCTGGCCACAGTAAGTACTCCATAAGCATTAGCTGTCATTCATCTTTGTTTCTCACACACCCTCCCATCCCCACCCCCCCACCCCCGGCTCATCCCAGGCTCTCGCAATAGAAACTCCAGAGTTAGCTGCCACTGCATTTCTTTAGATATGAGCCCAGTGTTCAAGTGAACATAGGAGTCTTTTATTTGGGTATCACAAAAAGGAAGTTCAGCAACCTTAGGTGTGTGTGGACATTTGGGGGCCAGCGCTCTTATTGGGACCTGCGACTCAGTAGCTTGTCTCTTAATATCTCTATACATCAGTTTCCAAATATGTAAAATGGGCACAACAGTCATTGGAACTCAAGGAGTCGTTTGGGATTAAATGAGATGATACACATAAAGTTCTTAACATGCATGAAGTCATCCTATTAGTTCTTTCCATTTTAAATGTGTAACTGGAAAACAGAAGGTAAATACATTTCATTTCAGCTGTCTTTGTGAATTTCCTTTCCTTCTATCCCTCTCTAATTAGCTGCCCCCTCATGCTGTCTCACTGGGCACCTCCATTTTTTTTTTAAAGATTTATTTATTTATTTATTTGAGAGACAGATCACAAGTGGGGGAAGGGTAGAAGGAGAGACTCTCAAGCAAACTCCCTGCTGAGCTTGGAGACCCACATGGGGCTCAATCCCATGACCCTAAGATCATGACCAGAGCTGAAATCAAGACTCAGATGCATAACCGACTGAGCCACCCAGGCACCTCTGGGCACCTCCATTTTTTAGAGTCAAGTTTAACATATTCCATCAATGATGAATGATCAAGGTTCCATGATCATGGAGTTCTACTTCTATGATGAAAATATTTGTAAAGCAATTGGACAAGCAGTGAGTAAAGATGAGATGTTCTCTCTTCGCTATGAAAACCGGTGGAAAACTATGAAGGATGGAGTCTGTCAGCATGCTCCAGGACAGCACTAGATCTTTGTGAAGGTGGAAGTGTCACACCAAGCTGTATAACAAACTCTGGATATACTTTGGGACTGGTTCTAGAGGAGACAGTAAGATTAATTGCCAAGTACTTCTCAGAAGTGTTCAGTACTTCAGTAACATTAAAATTTAGTAAATCAGGGAAACATAAATTATGAAATATATGAATTATAAAATTGGGGGACAAGTTTCTTTAAAATAAACACTCAAAAATAAAACTCATGTAATTGTGTTCATGGGAGAATTTTCTGGAGATGTTTATGCTGGGACAAAATAGGCTTTGCATTATTTTAATTTTTTTTAAAGATTTTATTTATTTATCTAACAGAGAACCAGCACAAGCAGGGGGAGCGGCAGGCAGAGGGAGAAGCAGGCTCCCCACTGAGCAAGGAGCCTGATGTGGGACTCGGACTTGATCCCAGGACCCCAGGATCATGACCTGAGCCAAAGGCAGACACTTATCCAACTGAGCCACCCAGGCACCCTGCATTATTTTAATTTTTAAAGGTGGTCTTAATTGATAAAAATGGTTCTAGATTTTTAAACATGGCCTATTCAGTTCTACCTTAGCAGATACGCAGTTGCTTATTTTCCTCATTACTGAAACCCGAGAACATTGTTTTACTTCTAATGTGCTTTAAAAAAAGTGGTTGCATTTTGAAGGAAAATAGCACGCGAATATGGGTCGTCAAAATAGACGCACTTCTATCGCTTGCAGACTGAGTTTGGTTGGAGGCTGTTGAATAGAGTTACAATAATGAAAGATAATTGTCTCTCCCAGAGAACGATTCAGTAGGTGAATGTAAAATTATTTGGCTTATGATGGGTTAACATTGAGGTACTCTTGTGTTCCTGGAATTGGAGAGGACTAAAATGGAAGAAGCTGACAACAAAGACCACAAAAACAAAAAACCCAGAAGCAATAAGACTCAGAATAAGTGAATAATAACTTCCTTCCCAGAACATACACATATATATGTATACAGACACACACAGACATACACTAAACACATATATGTGTGTACCCATTTATATACATATACTACATATGTATCTTAAAAATAAAAAAAAATATTTGACTTTGGTTTAAAAAAAATCACCTCTATTAATTTGGGTTATAGGAAATCTGGAGTAAATAGCAGTTCACATGGAAAAAAACATTTTTTTGTATTATTGTTGCTTGCAACCCTAACCCTAATCTAGGTTTACTAACAGAAAAGTGAATGCTTGCTAAGGCTGAATTACTGAAACAAAGGACATAATATTTTTTTTTTATTCTTATGTTAATCCCCATACATTACATCATTAGTTCTAGATGAAGTGTTCCATGATTCATTGTTTGTGCATAACACCCAGTGCTCCATGCAGAACGTGCCCTCCTCAATACCCACCACCAGGCCAACCCATCCTCCCACCCCTCTCCCCTCTAGAACCCCCAGCCTGTTTTTCAGAGTCCATCGTCTCTCATGGTTCGTCCACCCCTCCAATTTCCCCCGCTCAAAGGACATAATATTTTTACTATGTTTTTCCCAATTCAGAAAAACATTTGGAGTTTTATATTCAGCTCATTTTAAAGTTAGGTTGTGTCCAGAGCATCATGACAGGCAATGAGGTCTTTTTTTTTTTTTTTTTTAAGATTTTATTTATTTATTTGAGAGAGAGAGCCCAAGAGGAGGTAGGGTCAGAGGGAGAGGCAGACTCCCTGCTGAGCAGGGAGCCTGATGCGGCACTCGATCCCGGGACTCCAGGATCATGACCTGAGCCGAAGGCAGTTGCTTAACCAACTGAGCCACTCAGGCACCTAAGGCAATGAGGTCTTTTGAAATGATAAATATTTTCAGGTAAACAGAAAGTTGAAGCTGAGAACTTTGGATTCTGGAGATGATATATGATTGTTGTATTTAAATGTTTGCAGGAGAGTTACATGAAATGGAATCAGCATCTTTTCTGCAGCTCCAGAGAGTGGAATTTATGAGGCACCTTGAGAATCAATTCAGGGAAAGATCCCCTAGCAGAGGAAATTTCCATAAAACAAAAGAACTATCTTAAGAGCAAACGAATTTCCTGTCACTGGAGTGTTCCAAGAGGGGCTGGTTGGTGGACAGATGATTCCTTCTTAGTGCTGAATTTGGGGCTGCATAGCAATAAGAGTCCCTTCCAAATCCAAGATTTACCTGGCTGGTCTCCTCATACTGTTAGTGGTCATCTACATCCTATTTTCCCCTGTATGCCAGCTCTACACTTTCTTTTTATTTCTTTCTAAATGAGTAGTTTTTAATCTTTCAGAACAGTTTTTAATGCTTACAGAAAAACGAGTGTAAAATACAGAGTCCCCTATCCCCCTCGCTCCTCTGCATCCATTCCCCTTCTTATTCACAACTTGCATTAGTGTAAAACATTTGTTTCAACTGATGAGCTGATGTAGATATATTGTTACTAATTAAGTCCCTCATTTACATTGTTTCACTCTTTGTGTTGCACATTCTATGGGTTTTAACAAATGTATAATGACAGGTGTCTACAATTACATATCCTACAGAATAGCTTCACTGCCCTAAGAATCCTCTGTGGTCCCTTAGTCCACTTTCCTTCCCCCCACGTTTGGCAACTACTGATCTTTTTACTGTCTCTGTATTTTTACCTTATCCAGAATGCCGTATTTGTGAAATTATATAGTATGTAGCCTTTTCAGATTGGTTCTTTCACTTAGCAACATGGATCTAAGATTCCTCTGTATCTTTTTGTAGTGTGAGAGCTTATTTCTTTTTATCACTGAATAACATTTTAGTGTACAGATGTATCCCACTTTGTTCATCCATTCGCCTTTGGACATTTTCCATTCATTTAGGTAAATACCAAGGAGTGCAGTTGCTGGGTTGTATGGTAAGAATAGGGTTAGCTTTTAAAGAAACTGACAAACTGCATTCTAAAGTGGCTTTACCATTTTGCCTTCCTATCAGCAATTCACTGGAGTTCCTGTTTTTCCACATCCTTGTCAGCTTTCCGTATTGTTCATGCTTTGGATTTACGTCATTCAAACAGGCACACATGAAGTGGACTGACTTTTTTCCCTCATATTCAGATGCATTATTTCCAAATTACTATAAGAAATACACTTAAGCTACCACTGGTGTAATGTAATATCACTATGATCATTCAGGATCCAGATGGAAAGACACCGGAAGTAAGAGAACAAGCACTTATGTTAATTTCAAAATTATTAATGATGATTGTAATAATACACATTTATTTGTGAATACTTTTTTGAGTTTATTTTGAAAAGCGATGCCACCAGGAGAACATTCACAAGACCTATTTCTGATCAACATTTATACGGAATTACACTCAAAAGCATGAGGAGGCATTGGTGGTCATCAGACAATCCTTCTCTCAAGAGGCACTTTATTTTTGAGCAGTGGCTACTGCTTCTTGATTGAGATTTCTCAGTGTCTTTGTTTCAGGTCTTTCAAGTTGCCTACATCATCATCAAAGCTGCTAATGCCCCTCGACCTGGAAACTGGATTTTGGAGCGTTCTCTGGATGGCACCACGTTCAGCCCCTGGCAGTATTATGCAGTTAGTGACACGGAGTGTTTGACACGTTACAATATCACTCCGAGACGGGGGCCACCCACCTACAGGGCGGATGATGAAGTGATCTGCACCTCCTACTATTCTAGACTGGTACCGCTTGAGCATGGAGAGGTACTGTGCCCACCGCAGCGATGTCTGTTTTTTCTCCCGAGCCCTCACCTCAGATGTAAAGATAGCCGTTGTAAGAGCCAACATTGAACACTCCAAGTCAATCTCTCTTAGTACAGATTATAGGGATCTTTAATCTAACTATCTAGCTGTGTTCAAGATATTGACGGGAGTATCCTGATGATTGATGTCATAACCCATACATTTCACCTTACTGATTTCTTCCTTTCAAGAATAGCCTTCAGTCTTCTGTCTGCCGTGACTCAGTAACTCTATCAGAGCCTCTTAAAGCATTCTTTCCCATGACACCAGAGCAAGAACATTTGTTGAATTATTAGAGGGAGAGCTAAAATGCCTCTAAAAGAAGTAGTTTCTAGTTTTCTCTGTGAAGTTCTCCTCTTTGGAGGTGTTGAGGATTGGAGATAGCTTGTGAAGTATTCCAGCTCAGTGCTCACCATGCCCAGAGGGGCATACACACTTCATTAAAGTCAGTACGATCAAAAACAAGCCATTCTTTTTTTTTTTTTTCCTTTCTTTTTTTCATTTTCTTCTTCTTCTTCTTTTCTTAATGGAGGAAGCAGTGTGGGGGGGGTGTGGGGAAGGGCAGAGGGACAGAGAGAATCTTAAGTAGGCTCCACACCCAGTGCAGAGCCCGGTGACGGGCTCGATCTCACGATCCTGAGATCATGACTTGAGCCAAAATCAAGAGTCAAACACTTAACTAACTGAGCCACCCAGGCACCCCCAAAGAACAAGCCATTCTTTAGTAGCGCCTGACTTGATGAGATAAAACTGCAAAACCTCTCCTGACGACTCTTCACAGCAGGAATTCTGCAGCAAGCCTGCATTGTTTCAAGAGCAGAGATTAAGAGAGTGGGTATACAAAACTTTCTGGCACCTTCTCTCACTCTCCCCAGTCTGTTCTGGACATTAAGAATTTGTTTTAGTGGAGTAATAGCCTAATGATGCATGTTAAAATACCCTCAACACTGGGAGAAGTGGTCCCATTAAGTTTTCTAGCAATCTCTGAGATGCCAGAATGCATAACTTTAAATTAATTGAAGATACTTTGGGATCATGGTGTTCACAAGTAGTAATTAACAAATGTTGGGTTTCTACAAGAATCTAGTTGTTTGGTTTGATTTTAGATGGTATCATTATGTCCTGAAGTTAAACAATCAGGGCTATATTTTTGCATGCTTAAAATTGACATTCGTTCGTTTTGATGTCTTTATCTTTAGATTCATACATCACTAATCAATGGCAGACCAAGCGCTGATGATCTTTCACCCAAGTTGTTGGAGTTTACTTCCGCACGATACATTCGCCTTCGCTTACAGCGCATTAGAACCCTCAATGCCGATCTCATGACCCTCAGCCACCGTGACCCTAAAGACCTTGATCCTATTGTTACAAGACGAGTAAGTCTGTGGCAGGGCTCCCCCATTGTGAAAAGTTTATTTTGTTTAAGGAAAATAGACTTTTCTTTTTGATTGGCTTTGCCCTCCCAGGTTGACCTTTTTTTTCTTATTTCATTGAAAATCATTACATATGCATTATTTAACGTGCCACTTTTCTAAACTAGGGGATGGTTCTGACATTGTGCCCTTGGGCTCCCTCCCCCCATCCCATAATGCCATTCTGTAGTAAATGTTGTGGTATTGCTCTTCACACTGTGGTCTGACTCCACATCTGATCTTCAGCAAGTAAGCTGTTGTTTTTTCACTTAAAAGGAAATTTTAAAGTTTGAGTTATAATTTACATTCAAGAAGATGTACAGATTTTAAGTGTATAGTAAATGTACAAGGCTTGTGTGGACAAACATCTTCAAATCCCTTGGATAAACTAGGAGTGGAATTACTGAGTTATGGGGTAACTGTGTGTTTAATATTTAAGAATTTGTGAAGCCTTATGGAAAATTGTACCATTTTGCAGACCAGCAACATGTGAGAGTGCTGTTGTATGACACACTGTCACAGATTTGTGTTGTCAATCCATTTTCACATCAGCCATTCTGATGTGCATATGGTGACAGCTCCTTGTGATGTTAATTTGCATTTCCCTGATGACACATGTGAGCAGGTGCTTATTGGTATCTGATCGAATATTTTTGTCCATTTTTCATTTGGGTCATTTTGTCTCCTTATTACAGAGCTATAAAAGACTTTTAGATATTTTGTGTACAAGTCCTTTGTCAGATATCCACATTGCAAATATCTTCTCTGTCTGGAGCTTGCTTATTCACTTTCCCATGACATTTGAGAGGTTTTAATTTTAATGAAGTCCAATGTATTATTTTTTCTTTAATACTTAATGCTTTCTGTGCCTTTCTGAAAACGACTTTTTAAATTCCAGGTTTGCAAAGATGTTATGCTTTATAGTTTTAGCTTTTACATTTATTGTCTTTCAAATTAATTTTTGTGTTTGGTGTGAAGTAGAGATCAAGGCTCTTTGTTTCCCTGTATATGCATGCAACTGTTCGGCACCATTCGTCTTTATGCCAATAACAAACTTTTTCAATTGCTGTGGTTTTTTAGACTTAAGTCTTGAAGTCAGGTACTAAAATAGTCCAAATGAGTTCTTTTTCAATATCTCTGGCTATTCTAGATTCATTTTGTCTCCTTATAAATTTTAGGATGGGTTTGTTACTTTCTGCCCCCCCAAAAAAATCCTGCTAAGATTTTCATTGGGATTCCACTGGATTAATAGATCAGTTTGGGAAGGATTGTGGAAGACACTTTGATAATATTGGATCATCTAATCCATGAACATGCTGTATCTCTCCACCTGTCTGGGTCCTCTGTAGTTTCTCCTGGCAATGTTTCATTATTTGTTTATTAGTACATCTATTATTCAATGTATTCTTAATATACATTTTTGCCTGTTAGCCTTAATAGATTGCTTTCTAAATTTTATTTTCCATTTCTTCATTGCTAGTGTATAGAAATACAGTCCATTTTTTAATTGATTTTACATATTAAGACATTGCTAAAGTCACAGATTATTTCTAGTGGGTTTTGTTTTTTGGTTTTTGGTTTTTGTTGTTGTTGTTGTTGTTTTAGGTTTTCCCAAGTACACAATAATATCATCTACAAATAATGAGAGTTTGGCCTTACTGTGCACTTTTTATGTCTTTGATTTCTTTTTCCTTGCATTATTGAGCTGGCTGGCACTTCCCATAGATGTGGAATGGAAATGGTGAGAACAGATTATAAGAGGAAAACACTTAATCTTTCACTGCTAGCTCTCAGGTTTTCATGGATTCCCTTTATTATGGCTGAGCAGATTCTCTTCTACTGGCTTGCCAGCTTTTTTTAATGAATGGTGGTAAATTCTGTAACATGTGTTTTGTGACTCTATTGAAATGATCAAATGTTTTTGTTCTCCTTTATTCTGTTAATACGGTGATTTACATTTACTAATTTTTGTGTGTTGAACTAACTTTGCATTTGGGGAGAAAATTCTACTTGGCCATGAGTTATTATCCTTTGTATAAAGTACTATATTCAATTGTATAGTGCTGTATTCAGTATTTTTTAGGGTTATCAGTTATGGGTTTTGAATATGACTGCCTGGTATGAGGTGCAGCCAAGTTAAGAATTTCTTTTAGACTCATTTGTTTTCTGTTGGTGAGTTCATTTGGGCATTATTTGTTTTAAATCAACACAAGGATTTTTGTGCATGAAATATAATTTAAAGTGTGTCTCTAATTATTTTTTAGGTTACCAATAACTGCTGAGCTATATGTTGGAGAGCCCAACATTTTCTTTGAACTGAAATAGAAGAGGCCTTAATTTTTATTTGTCACTTTCTTTTTCCTTAGTATTACTATTCAGTCAAAGACATTTCTATTGGAGGAATGTGTATTTGTTATGGCCATGCTAGTAGCTGTCCATGGGATGAAACTACAAAGGTGAGTTCTAGTATTTTACAGTTTATTAAAACTTTAAAATAGGAGTTACAGCTATAGTGTTTGCCTTACTGTTTTTTTACTCAAGTCAGATGTTGAAAGGTATAAAATCATGGTGCAAAAAGTATTTTTCAGATAATTTAACTGATTTCATTTTTTTGAACAATTTTATTCCACTTTCTTTGGAGGATATATTTCTTTTTTGTTTTGTTTTCCTAGTATGTCCAGCACAAAGAAGATTTTTTTCATCATGACAAGCATACTCTTTAATCTCTATCACCTATTTCCTATTTCACCCATTACTCCACACCCCTCCCTCAGATAACCATCAGTTCGTTATCTGTAATTAAGAGTCTGTTTCTTGGTTTGCCTCTGTCTCTCTTTTTTTTACCTTTGCTCATTTGCTTTTTTTCTTAAATTCTACATGAGCATATGGTATTTGTCTTTCTCTGGCTGACTTATTTCACTTGGCATTACACTCCCTAGCTCTATCCATGTTGCAAATGGCAAGACTTCATTCTTTTTTATGGCTGGATAATATTCCATTGTATAGATACGTACTGCTTCTTCTTAATTCATTCATCTATTGATGGACACTTGAGCTGCTTCCATAGTTTGGCTATTGTAAATAGTGCTGCAATAAACATAAGGTGCGCGTCTCCCTTTGAATTAGCATTTTTGTATTTATTAGGTAAATACCCAGTAGTGCAATTACTGGATCATAAGGTAGTTCTATTTTTAATTTTTCAAGGAACCTCCATACTGTTTTCCAGAGTGGCTGCACCAGTTTGCATTCCTACCAAGAGTACAAGAGAGTTCCCCTTTCTCTGGATCCTTGCCAGCACTTGTTGTTTCTTGTGTTGTTGATTTTAGCCATTCTGACCGATGTGAGGTGGTATCTCATTGTAGCTTTGATTTGCATTTCCCTGATGATGAGTGATGTTGAGCATCTTTTCATGTGTCTATTAGTCATCTGGATGTCTTCTTTGGAAAAATATCTGTTCATGTCTTCTGCCCATTTTTTAATTGGATTATTTGTTTTTTGGGTGTTGAATTGTATCAGTTCTTTATATATTTTGGATACTAACTCTTTATTGGATATGTCATTGCAAATGTCTTCTCCCATTCAGTAGGTTGCCTTTTAGTTTTATTAATTGTGTGATTTGCTGTGCAGAAACCTTTTATTTTGATGTAGTCCCAATAGGTTATTTTTGCTTTTATTTCCCTTGCCTTAGGAGACATATCTAGGAAATTGTTACTATGGTCTATGTCAGAGAAATTACTGCCTGTGCCCTCTTCAAGGATTTTTATGGTTTCAGGTCTCACATATAGGTCGCTAATCCATTTTGACTTTATTTTTGTGTATGGTAAAAGAAAGTGGTCCAGCGTCATTCTTTTGCATGTAGCTGACCAATTTTCCCAACACCCATTTGTTGAAGATACTGTCTTTCTCCCTTTGTATATTCTTTCCTCCTTTGTCAAAGATTAATTGACCATATAATTGTGGGTTTATTTCTTGGTTTTCTATTTGAGTCCATTGATCTATAGTACCATACTGTTTTAATTACTACCACTTTGTCATATAACTTGAAATCTGGAATTGTGATACCTCCTGTTTTATTTTATTTTATTTTATTTTTTTAAAGATTTTATTTATTTATTTGAGACAGAGAGAATGAGAGACAGAGAACATGAGAGGGAGGAGGGTCAGAGGGAGAAGCAGACTCC